CTTGAGTGAAATATTTGATAACATTTCTCAATGTATTAGTTAAACATTTGTTATTGAATTGAATGAGATGTCATTCACACGAAATACTCAATTGAGGATGTCAGACTCATGTAGGTAAGTGGAATTTCATCTCTTTCATATATTATATTGTGTACGTGATACAGCCATATCAGTAGGTAAATAATAAAAAAATAATGGGTACTTCTGAGGTAACTAATCATTAGAAGTTAAATTAAAATGATCTGAAAAAAAATTGAAATAAGTCTAAACTATTAAATTACTAGCGAACCACCCCGACTTCGCACGGGTGCAATGTTGATGCCAATGTGCGATCGCTGCTAATCATAAAGTGCTATAGGGCAAAGCGCGGCCTTCGACGCGCCATTTTTTTTTGGAAAAAGACCTTTCAGTGAACGATATCAATTTTTGAACTGTTTTCTTGAAAATGTTGTTAATTTTTTAGATTACAGAAGGTTAAAAACACAAAGAATTCAAGATACAACTAATCAAAATACATACGTTCGTCCTAACGACTACCAGAGAACACACATTTCAACCAAAATATATTCATTCATGATATATTTCATTAGTTCGGACTTTCATTTTCTAATATAAAATGATTTGAAATCCCTGAAAGAACTAACGAAAAGAAGAATTAAAAAATGAATACCTGAAAGTAACAATTATATTAAGCAAAAAAAATCTGAAATGAAATAATAGTGGAATAAAATAATTTCATTTTTCAATTGAACCTTCAATTACTTTTTGTTGTGCAGTAATAACTTCAATAAATAAAAGAACTGCGAAAATGGTTTAAAGTGTTTAAGAAACAGTTGACAGGGTTTTCATTCATGGCGAAATTCGAAAGTGAGTCCAAACGGAAGCACTTTTTTGAAGAAAAAAATTCAAATCGTGATGTTAATCACAGGTATGTTCTGAATTCAGTTGAAGAAAAATTAGCCCAAATTGAGGTTTTGAGAATTTTTTTCTGCGAATCTCATTACCTTTAACAGTGGTGGAACATACGTGGATATTCAAAATACTTAAAATATGTAATGAAGATGATTTTATTAGAATAATGCACTTTTGTTTGACCTTGTCTACCATCTCTATCAATCTCTACGATGAATGTGGATTGCTGTGTGAATAGACAAAATGGTTTGAGTTCCAGGAGAAGTGCAGGGCGTACATTTCGACATCACCAACCTAGGTCCTCTTTTGTTTTTATTGTTTATCAATGAATAATGTGAAAGTTTAGCTTTGAGCAGTTATGCTTCGCGGATGACTTGAAATCATTTCCTTTAATTAAGGAAGTAGGTGATTGTGTAAATCTTCAATCTCAATTAGAATTCCTTGTTGCTTGGTGCAGCAGTAATAAATTGAAACTCAATGTGGAGAAATGTAAAGTAGTGAGTTATAGTCGAAAAAATAAGGTATATACATTTCCGTATGTAATAAAAGATTTAGATCTGCTGAGATCAAAAACCTAGGGGAGCGGACTGCAATACTATGTTAACCATCTATCGGGCGCTAATAAGATCTAAAATAGACTATGGATGTATTGCCTACTCTACTGCAAATAAGTCAGCTCCTAAACAGCTGGATGTCATTCAACATGCCGCCATTAGGAGCCAGTATTAGTGTTTATTTTATCCACTGTTAAATTCCCTACATGTCTCCGTGGCTTTTTAGTAATACTGATAACCAAAATTTGAACTTTTTCGTAATGAATAATAGGCTCTTCATTCTCATTACTACATTATAACGAATAAATCATTGCCCTAGCTTCTCACTTAGAACCACTTAACTGAAAATCGGACTCGAATATGGAAATTACAAAACTCAAAATTTGAACTTTGCGTTGAAATTCGGTATATAGGATCAAAATTTCTAAGCAACTCTCTTAAACATTCTCGCGGGATCGCATGTGGAAACCTTGTAGGCTATGCGAATAAATGAGGGGATGTTGTTTAATGAAAAATAAAATTCATAAAATGAAATGAATGCTCGAGTTGGGATCCTTTTTGAAGAGTAGGCCTCAAGCTCTGCATCTAGTTCTTCAGTTGTAGGTGGCTTCCTCTGATTTCTCGCGTTCTGCGCACCTCTGAATTTTTTCTCTTTTTGGACTTCTATCTATAGTGAAACTTCCTTTCACCTACAGGTCTTCTGGCATAGTTAGTTGAATGTTCATAGACCGTCCATCCAGGGGAACTCCATTATACTGTTTCATTACTCTGATTGCATCACTTTTTTTCTCAAAAATCACATCAGCAGTTCCCAGCGGTCTGCCTGATTTGTCATAATGAACAGCAGCTTTTTTTAGGGGCCCAAACTCAGCGGAAAGTTCCTGAATATCAGAGTCAGATAGCCCAAAGTCTAAATTAGAAATCGCAAGCTTCGTTGGTTCCATCGTAGCTTGAACAGCTGCTTTAGCCGCAGCCACTTTACGGGGTCCGTATTCATCGCGAACAAATTCATTAATCAAGGTTTCAATTTTATTTACCAGAGTGTTTTTCCATTTTATAATAAATATTCACAATCTTTAGAAGCATTTCTTCAATACGCGAAACTATACGTCCCTTTTTTTTCGAATCGAAAATTACACGCTCATAGGACATCGTACAATCAAAATACATAAACCATCACTATCTTAGTCTAAATCTTATTATATATGTTACCAATATTTCAAGACGACTGACGACTAGACATATGAGTTACCTGACATTGACAAATTGAATTATCCATCACTTCCAACAAAAAATCAGTTTTATGACAAATTCAGTTGTGAACATATATCAGAAAATTATTTTGATAGGGCTAGAAATGTGTGGAATTTATTCGAGTGTCAGAATTTGGGTGAATACTCTGATTTGAATTTGAAGTCGGATGTATTGCTATTATGTGATATTTTTGAAAACTTTCGAATCACAAGTTTAGAGATTTATAACTTAGATCCAGTACATTATTACACTGCACCTGGATTATCTTGGGATGCTATGTTGAAGTATACGAATATTGAATTGGAATTACTAACTGACATTGATATGATTCATTTTTTTCAAATAGGTATACGGGGTGGAATTAGTCAGTGTAGTGAGAGGAAACATATGGCAAATAATAAATTGTTACCAAATTATAATCCTGATGAACCTTCCACATTCATTACATATTTAGATACAACAAATCTATACGGTCATAGCATGTCACAACCTCTACCAACAAGTGAATTTACATGGTTGACACCTAATGAAATTCTTAACCTTGATGTGATGAATGTGAGTGACTTCTAGTCCGTATGGATATATGTTTGAAGTGGACATTCATTATCCACAAGAGTTGCATGATGAACATTCTGATTTTCCATTTTTAGTTGAAAAATTAATACCACCTCGTACACAATCGAAAATTCCCAAATTAATTCCAAATTTAAATGATAGAAGAAAATATATTGTTCATTATAGAAATCTACAGCAAGCCATCAAAAATGGTTTGATTGTAATGAATACACATAGAGTATTGAAATTCAAACAATCACGTTGGATGAAACCCTATATAGATCTTAATACTGAAATGCGTAATAGGTCTAACAACAAATTTGTTAAAGATTTCTATAAACTAATGAATAATGCGGTATATGGAAAGACAATGGAGAATGTAGATAACAGAATTGATGTTAGACTCGTTACCCATTCGGAAAATATAAAGAAAAATATAGGTGCCGGCACTCTCATATCCAGACCAAATTTCAAAAATTGTTCAATTTTCACAGAAAATTTCGTTGCCATTCAATTGGGTAAAGTTAAAGTCCATTATAATAAACCATTATATTTGGGATTTTCTATATTAGAATTATCTAAAACAGTCATGTACGACTTTTTCTATGGATGCATCAAACAACACTTTAGTGAAAATGTCTCCTTACTGTACACAGATACCGACTCACTCATTTTGAAAGTAAATACAGAAAATTTTTATGAATTCATGAAAACTAACATAAGTAGGTTTGATACATCCAATTACAGTATAGTTAACCAATTCAATATTCCAGTAACAAGTTCAATCTTGGGTAACTTCAAAGACGAATTTCCGAATGATCTAATCATGAGCTTTTATGGTACTGGTGCAAAAGCGTATTATGTGAAATCTGTTGATGGTGAATTTAAGAAAGCTAAAGGGGTGAAACGATCGGTTATAAAGAATGAATTGACATCTGAAGATTACCAAAAAATCGTGGAACATGGTGGTATGATATTCAGAAAGATGAATTCATTTAGAAGCGTGTTGCATGATATGTATACTGAATTGAAGAATAAAGTTGCATTATCATACCACGACGATAAACGATTCATCATTCCAAATACTACCCACACTCTTCCTTGAGGTCATAATGATATTGAATTTTATTAAAACGATCCGAATGATAACATTCGGTGGATAACTAATATTATTCAAGAATCACAAACTCAGGAGAGTCCACTGTATCAACTAACCAATTTATTGTCTGCCGAGATCAATAATTGAAATTCCATTCAATGTCTTTAAAACCGGAAAATCCAATATTGATGTTCTTGATAATCAATGCAAAGTATATAGCATAATGTAAATGAAAGAAATATCAGTTTGAAAAGAATCATCCTAGAGTGCACAATGTCTAAAACAATCGATAAGTTTGGTAGAAAAAGAAAATGGGGTGGTAATGTCATTCGAGGTTCTCCCGGAAATGGATTTAAATTAACAAAAGATGGTCATTATGACATGCAAAGGAAAATATTGAAAAATACAAGTGAACCAATTGACAAGAGTGATTGTGTAACTGTATCATATCTTGAGGGGGAAATTAATGGAGCAAAGGAAGTTATACTTCTAGCCCTACAAGCTGCAATACAATCCACAATAGGCAATGTTGCTCATGATGCCCGTCATTCGACGATAAAATTGCAGAGGCTCGGATAACTTTCGCTTGTAAATATGACACTCTGACAAGTGATGTAGAAATAAAAATGTCTGACGTAACAGCGTCTACAATGAAAAAATATGATGGTTTGGAACAGGGAGTTATAGTTTTGGAGAAAAAACATAAACTCAAGTCATCAGGTGGACTTGGGTATCCAGGACTGGACATTAATCCAAATGTTAGAATAATAGAACCAAAACCAACAGATGATGTATTAATTGGACGAACATGGTGAATCTACTTCCGCGTTAAGTTAGGTTCATACATACGTTAGGTTAGGTTCATCCATACGTTAGGCTAGGTTCATACATACGTTAGGTTAGGTTCATACATACGTTAGGTTAGGTTCATACATACGTTAGGTTAGGTTAGGTTCATGAGGGGGACTAGGGTATCCCTGATAGGTTAGGACGCATTTCCCCCCATCCCCCCGGGGGCCCGCCCACCGCCCCGCCCAGGCCCACCATCATCCGCCCGGGGCGCCAAAAGGAGAGTAACTTCGCGCGCGAGCCTGCGCGTGTGTGGTGGCCGAAGCGCGCTTGCGCGCGAGCCCCCCCCCCCTGGGGGAACCGACTACCGCCCCACCCTCCGAACCCCGCCCCCCACCATCAGGGCCACACCCACCGCCCCACCCTAAGGACCCCGCCCACCGCCTCACCCTCAACTCCCAACACTCGCGCATGCACGCCCCCACCCCCATTGCGCGTGCGCGCCCCCGCCACATTCCCACCACTCGCGCATTCATGTATATACCCCAAAGAGAGCACTCCTCAACATTCAGTACAACGACTCAAGTCAACGATAGCAGTCCAGTCCACTCCAGCTCAGTCCAGAGCAGTCAACCAGCAGAATTTTGAGTGAGTTAACAATGTTATTTTTTTTATATTAACTAACTTTGTATTACTTCACATTTTCAGAATGGTATCCAACACACAGGAAATCAGCAACGCTGTGCCATCGATCATACCGGTGGTCAAGGAGAAGGCAGCAACTTCGAGCTGTAGGGGGCGATCTCTCAGCCCTGAGTTATTCGAGGCGGACAGGGTTGTGAAGAAGGTCAGCCGACAACCTACAGCTAGGCCGGAGGTCAGGGAGAAGGCAGCAACTTCGAGCGGTAGGGGCCGATCTCTCAGCCCTGACTTATTCGAGGAGGAGGACAGGGTTGTGAAGAAGGTCTGTCGACAACCTGCAGCTAGGTCTGGTCCTATTGAAAAGTACAGAGTTGCTTGCAATAGGACTAATCCTTATGCAGGTAGTTGGCCAACCGCTCGTAAGAGCTTGAGACCCTCCACGCCGCCGGCAGCAGTAGTGGAAACACCGAGGGCGACTTCTCCGGAGGAGCCCGTCGTATTGACTCCGTTGGCGGTGCCGCTTTCGCCGCTGCCAGCAACACCGGCGAATCCTCAAGTGTTGGTGCCATAAGTGCCAGTATGAGAGCCTATCGGAGAGGTTAGTGAAATTTTGAGCGGTTTCCTACAGAGATGTAGGGAAGCAGAACATGCTTCCCGATCAAGCGAGGCCGCGTTGGCTAGCATTTCCCGCCGAGAGGCTGAAATTGCTAGCCGACGAAGCGATCTATTGAAAGAATTGGCCGAACTAGATCGAGAGCAAATATCTCTGGAGGAAAGGCGTAAAGCAGAGACCTCTTCGATAGAGACTTTTAAAAAATTAGTGACATTTATAAAGACTTTTCCGTAGATTAAGTGTAAATAAAAGATTAGTTTTAGGTTAGTTGAGAATATTTAATTATGGTAGTTTTAAGTTTATATTTGTAATTGTAGGAAACAAAAAAAAAATAAAAAAAAAGAAGTGAAATAAAGGGTGTACATTGTTCACTCCACGACGGCACCTTATAGGATGGAGCATGATGATGACATACCATCTGATTATTTACTGCAGGTGCAATATGTTACCGGCAGTGACGAAGCGGACCTTTCAAACAGCGAATATCCGCGAATGTCAAATAAAAATCTTTGTATTATTTTCATGTTTAAGGTGAGTTTAATGAACCTGCAACGTTTCTATACGTAGAATTGTGGAAAAGACAATTGAATATAATACGAATTTGGTAACCTATTTGAAATGTAAGATATGTGACTTAAATCTTTATACCACTCGGAATGATGACCATGACCATGGGGTCATAGCGATATAGAGTTTTATTGAAATGATCCTAATGACAACATTCGTTGGGTGGCTGAAATCGTTCATTCTTTTTCTCAAGAGAGCGCCTTAGACCAACTAATTAATTTGTTGACTCTTGAAATGAATAACTGAATTATCATTCGAAGTGTTGTTGCTTTTTCCTTCAAACCAGAACATTCATTATTTGGGACTATTTCATTGTGATTTTTTTACATTGAAGTATTACTTTTGTCAAGTTACTTTAATGAATATAAAAATGATAAAAAAATGTTATTTGTTTTACTTATATTTTTCCTAACCAATTACTGCAAAGTATACAGCATAATGTAAATGAAAGAAATATCAGTTTGAAAAGAATCATCGTAGGGTGCACAATGTCTAAAACGATAGATAAGTTTGGTAGAAAAAGAAAATGGGGTGGTAATGTCATTCGAGGTCCTCCTGGGAATGGTTTTAAATTAACAAAAGATGGTCATTATGACATGCAAAGGAAAATATTGAAAAATACAAGTGAACCAATTGACAAGAGTGATTGTGTAACTGTATCATATCTTGAGGGGGAAATTAATGGAACAAAGGAGTTATACTTCTAGCCCTACAAGCTGCAATACAATCCACAATAGGCAATATTGCTCGGGACGCCCGGCAAGCATTTGACGATAAAATTGCAGAGGCTCGGATAACTTTCACTCGTAAATTTGACAAACTTACAAGTGATGTAGAAATAAAAATGTCTGACATAACAGCGTCTACAATGAAAAAATATGATGTTATGTCTAACCTAACAGCGACTACAATGAAAAAATATGATGTACTGGAACAGAGAGTTGAAGTTTTGGAGAAAAAACATAAAGTCAGGCAATCAGATGGACTGGGATATCCAGGACTGGACATTAATCCAACTGTTAGAATAATAGAACCAAAACCAAAACCAACAGATGACGTATTGATTGAACGGGCATGATGAATGCATTCCACGCTCGAATTAGGTTAGGTTAGATTAGGGTAGGTTAGGTCAGTTCTGGAGAAACGTCAGGTTAGGTTAGAGAAACGTTAGGTTAGGTTAGGGTTGGTTAGGGTAAGTTAGATTAGGGTAGGTTAGGTTAGTCCTGGAGAAACGTTAGGTTAGGTTAGGTTAGAGAAACATTACGTTGGGTTAGGGAACATAGTGAATGCATACAGCGCGCGTTTCCCTCTCCCCCACCACCTCTCCCGCCTGCCCCACTGCCCGCCCACCATCATCCGCCCGGGGCGCTGAAATGAGACTAACCGTCTCTCGGGCAGTTTTGAGCCCTACGCGCGCTTGCGCCCACAGGGCAACGATCCACCGCCCCACCTTCTGAGTCTAACCTCCAACCCTCAAGGCCCCACCCATCGCCCCACCGTCAACTCCCAACAGTCGCGCACCCCCATTGCGCGTGCGCGCCCCCGCCACATTCCNGTTAGGTTAGGTTAGGTTAGGTTAGGTGTTCGGTTGCATATTATGTTAGGAACGCGCGAAGCGGGCGTAGATATCTCTCCAGATGTCCCGCCTACCTGGGGCCGGAGGCCCCACCCACCTGGGCGGAGCATGTGTATTCAATATCGTGAGTTGAAAAATATAAGCGGGAATGGAGTATACAATTAATTTGGTTTGGTATACACAGAACATTGCGAATGGATGGGGCAATGTTTACCGCTGCAATATTTTTCAGTTCACATACTTATANTTTTCAGAGAGCCCGCCCACCTTTCCTAAGCCCCGCCCCGCCCCCAACACTTGCGCATGCACACCCCTACCCTCAACGCGCGTGCGCGCTCCCACCATTTTCCTACCACTCGCGTATTGATGTCGATACCCTCCGGAGAGCATTCCACAACATTCAGTTCGACAAGTCATCTCATCGAGAGCAGTCCACTCCAGTATAGCGCAGTACCTTCCAGTGGCCAACTTGAATTTTGAGTAAGTTAACAATGTTATTTTTTTATATCAACTAACTTTGTATTATTTTTCATTTTCAGAATGGCAACCAATACCCAGGAGACAAATAATGCTGTGGCATCCATCATGCCGGTGTCCAGTGACCAGGAGAAGGCAGCCACTTCGGGGCCGGTGACCAGTGATCAGGCAACCACTTCGCGAGTTAGGTGCAGATCTACCAGCCCTGACTTATTCGAGGAGGAGGAGGAAGTCAGGGCTGTGAAGAAGGTTTGCCAACGACCTGCAGCGAGGCTTGGTCCTATTCCTAAGTACTGAGCTACTTGCAATAGGACTAATCCTCATGCAGGTAGTTGGTCGACCTCTCGTAAGAGGGTCTCTACACCACCTGCAGCAGCACTGGAAACTCCGAGGGCGTCTTCTCCGGAGTTAGTCATATTGACTCCGTTGGTGGCGCCACTACCACCGCTGCCAGCGATACCGGCGGATCCTGAGGTGTTGGTGCCACAAGTGCGACAGCCTATCGGAGAGGTGAGTGAAAAGATGAATACTTTTCTACAGAGATGCAAAGAAATAGAACATGCTGCCCGATCTAGTGAGGCCGCGTTGACTAACATGAACCGCCTAAAGGGTGAAAAGGTTAAGTGACGTAGGGAATTAGAGAAAGAAATGACCGAACTAGATCGTGTATTGCATCTCTGGAGGAAAGGTGTGAAGCGGCAACCTCTTCGATAGAGCTACACAAAAGGTTATGGACAGCTATGGACCCTTTTTTGTAGATCAAGTATAAATATAAGATTAGTTTTAGTTAGGAATATTTAAATATGGTAGTTTTAAGTTTATATTTGTTAAGTTTATATTAAATAAAGGAAAAGGAAGTGAAATAAAGGGTGTACACTGTTTTTTGGTTTGGTACACATTGAACAATGCGATGGTTGGAGCATTTTTCTTCACTTCCTCTTATTATCATTATTATTTTTTTATTTCAATTCCAAGTTCTTCTAGACAAATACCTCACATCAATTTTTGTGTTCTCTAATCACTTGTAAATAATTTCATGTGAAGAAAATTTAAAAAATAAAAAAATAGACATGTTTCATAGTGAAATCGACAAGTATATTTCATTTGTATTTTATCCATTCAAGTATCTCTTTCATTGAATATGTCTTATGTCACTTTGCAATTTACCCCTACTCATTGAATATGTCTTATGTCACACTACAATTTACCCCTACTCAATGTTCCACTCCTCTCCCACTCCCTCTCGAAAGTATAAAAGTAGAAATCATCTGATGAAACATTCAGTTGATCAGCTAGCATCGAGATGGAACCCGATTCAACCTCCGAACCCTATAGCTGCCCGGATCAGGGGTACAACTTCAATTACTGGGATAACAGCCAGGTACAGGTTGTCTCTTCCACCACGGAACCCCACAGTCCGCCATACGAATACCGGGATCACGACATCAGGATGCAAGTTCAGCATGTCACTGGCAGTGACGAAGGACACTTGGATGACTCGGAATATCCAGATCCTGACGGATGGTGGGACCCTGCTTATGATGACATTGTCCCAATGAGTAGCGACGACGACGATGATGACGACGACGACTCTGGTGATGATGCTGATGACGAGCTTGACGTTAGACGTCCTCCACCATCCCCTATCCTCATCGAGGATAGTCCTCCGCCATCCCCAATCCTAATCGATGATGATGTCCTCAATTCCGATGATGACATATAATCATCTACTCGTCCATCATTTCCTTTCCTTTCCTTCCACGGAGTACACACTTTTTGGTTGGTGTACACGAGGCACTGCGAGGCTGGGGCAGTGTCTTCCTCCCTTCCTCTCCCTCTTATTAGTTTTTTTTCCATAATAATCACTAGAATTTCTCCTAATAATCGCTCAGAGTTTCATTCTTGATGTTTTCGAATCTCAAACACTGTTCTACATTTCACCCCCTCCATTTCATTTCTTCCAATATAAATATAGCAACAATCCCAGTTCTATATCATTCTTCCACAATGTCGAGTACAGGACCCATCCAAGTACATGAAATAGATTCAACGTCTGACCATTTGAGTACAACCTTCGCTCAATTTCTGAAGCGAATCTATGATCTTCCTGATGATTTCGCAGAACGAGTGGAACAAGGTATGATGACTCCCTTCTATGACCTCCACTCTCGAAAAAATCAAAATCAGGAACACCAAAAAAAAAACATTACCACTACCAATAACCTTGGATGACTATGATAATGATAAAGCTCCACAATCAATTTTCAAGAATCACAAGCTTTTGTATGATAAGGATAATAATAATTATCAATTATAAAAGAAAATAAAACAAAAATTG